GCTATAATAATGTACATAAAAATCTATAAATATCTGTTGATTTTCTCAATAAACGATCTGTTGCCTAGTCGACTAGATCTTTCATCAACAAGTGTACATCCTTCGAGATTTTAATTAGTACACTATTCGTGATATTAACGGTTCAGAATATTGACTACCGATCAGTATGTCACAAGATTGAACTTCGCTTTACTGAATACTACTGCTAAATGAAATAAAGTAGTACAACTTGATTTTACAAAATATATGCGGCCGCCAATGACTTGGTTTTAAGGCCTTTAAATAATAATAATAATTGACTAATAAACTGTTAAATTCAACAGAACAAGCACAGAAATTAACCAGGGTGTAGGAAAATCTACAATTAATTAATTAATTAGATGGTACATCAAAATGCATGCATGCGGCATTAATTAATTACATTACGTTGAACTACACGTACAACTAACAATCTTTGTACACAATGTTACACATTGCGGCACTAGATTGTTACTACACATTTGACAGTGGACGTGTCGGTTTTACAATAACTGTCTGTAGATAGACAAAATAACACAAATATCACAAGACCTACGTATATATGTACGTTTTTCATAACTATATAATTTTACCAAATTACCTACATTTGTTAATACTCTGTTGATCAAAACATTTTTGTTATGTTGCTTGAAATAAAAACAAAATGTGACCAATGAGTGGTAAATAGGAGGGGATGGTTAAAGTGCGCTGATCATAATAATACTAATTTGGTTTGTAAGCGTTAGTTTTGTTTTTCACGAGTTGATCACGGATCGACATCAGTTAGAGAAGCATTGAAACTCAGTGGGTGTGTACTGCAGATGATTCCTAAAATAGGATGAAATAGCTGGCTGTCCAGTACTCCCTGGTTAGTTTACAATGCCTTTCTCTCTCAATCCATGATCAACTCGTAAAAAACAAAACTAACGCTTACAAATCAACCTATAGAAAATTAATCTGATGCTCGCTGGTGACTTGCTACAGAATGGAGTTTCCTGGAGTCAGTTCTATTGAGAAGTCGTGACCAGTGAGGTCCGTCCAGATGTCACGTGTGAGGATGGATGTTCCACCGACGACATTGTTTAGGGTCACGCTATATCACGAATTTGTAGACGTTAAAATTCATGGGCTGGCCATTGAATCGGGTCTCAGTGGCTGAATGGTATACGAGCTAGCTTGTCTTGTAACTGGAAGATCGTGGGTCCGAACCACCTGTGGTGGGTGCGTACTGGTGATGATTCCCAAACTAGGATTAAACAGCTGTCCAGTATTTCAGTAGTTGTTTTCAATGGTTCTCTGACTGATATCAATCCGTCATCAACTCGTAAAAAACAAAACTAACCTTTACAAACCAAACTATAGAAAACAATAATAATATCAATAATAACGAGAATGGCTACGGAAATTCACGTGTTTCACTGTACACACCCATAATATTTGAGGGCCAATATCTAGTAAATCCTTGATATTGATATTGAAAAACCTTTTTAAGCTGTAATAGTGTTAAATAGTTTCATTATTTTTTTGATTATAGCTTGATTTCACATGGTATTTTTGGTAGAGGTATGGAATTTTCAGCATGTGAATTAGGTACCCCACATTTTTTATAGCCGAACAGTTGATATGAGGTGTGCGTCGGCAAGGAATCGAACTCCGGACCATGTTTATGGTTAGCAAGAGTCCTAACCACTGTGCTACCGACGCTTAATATTAACGCATTATAGATAATTAGAATATAGTTAGGGTTTGATGGATCACACTGTATGACTTTGCTCAAGAACTACAATAATTCACTACGGGGTGCCATCGACAATTATACATCTCATTCAACAGTTATACGACAATACTGCATGCCAAGTAATCCACAAAGGGAAACTTACGGAAGTTTCGAAGTGACGACGGGAGTGCGACAAGGCTGTCTACTATCACCAATGATCTTCCTGATTGCAATCGATTGGATAATTCGACAGACAACGGGCAATGAGGAAACATGCATAAAATGGACTCACACAAAAAACTTGGAGGATCTGGACTTCGTCGATGATATATGTCTGATTTCCCACAAGCTGGAAGATGTGCAAGTGAGAAGCAACAAGCTGGCAGAAGAAGCATCAAAGATAGGACTTGATTTCCAGTGAACATAGAGAAAACAGATGTGGCGATGAAGATTCCTGGCCAACATCAACAGACAACAATCAGCATAAATGAGAGGAACCTGAAAGAAACAGCCTCCTTCACCTACCTGGAAGCATCGTCTCAACTACAGGCGGAAATGACGAGGATATCAAAGCCAGAATCGGAAAAGCAAGACAGGCTTTAATTAGTCTTAAATCTGTTTGTAGGTCAACAGCACTCAGCATCAAAAATAAGATCAGGATTTTCAACTCCAATGTAAAGTCAGTGCTACTTACTATACGAATCAGAGACTTGGCCAGTGCGTCATAAAGAGCATCTCAAACAAACTACAGACCTTCGTTAACAGCTGTCTTCGTTCAATACTCAAGATCAGATGGCCAGAAAAGATCAGCAACAGGGATCTCTGGCAAAGAGCAAACCAACCAACCAGAAACCGATTGTGCAGCAAATAATCAGGAAGAAATAGAGATGGATTGGCCTTACTCTGAGGAAACCATCAAGTGACATCACTAGAAAAGCCCTCAAGTGGAACCCAACTGAATGGGAAGTGCGAGTTGGTTGTCAGTGTGAGGGTGACTTGGAGGAGGTGATGTGAGGAGGAGATGAAAGCATGTGGACAGACCTGGAGCGGGGGGAAAAAGTTGTCAGAAGACAGAAGGCAATGGAGGTGCGCAGCTGAAGTCCTATGTTCCTCTAGGAACTAAAGGATACAATAATAATTATTATTATTATTCAGAAGAGGTCACACATAGAGGGATAGAAAAGAAATGAGCGTACTAACCGCTATACCACCGACGCACCTGATATTGATATTGAAAAACTTTTTTAGCTGTAATAGTGTTAAATAGTTTCATTATTTTTTTGATTATAGCTTGATTTCACATCGTATTTTTGGTTGAGGTATGGAATTTTCAGCATGTGAATTCGGTACCCCACATTTTTCATAGCCGAACAATTGATATGAGGTGTGTGTCGGCAAGGGATCGAACTCCGGACCATGTTCATGGTTAGCAAGAGTCCTAACCACTGTGCTACCGACGCTTAATATTAACGCATTATAGATAATTAGAATATAGTTAGGGTTTGATGGATCACACTGTATGACTTTGCTCAAGAACTATATCAATTCAGTTGCTATTATTCAGAAGAGGTCACACATAGAGGGATAGAAAAGAAATGTGAAAAGGCTACAGTGGATGGAGGTATATAACAGGGAGTATATTCGGTTGAAGTCTTTAGTAAATAGTTTCAAACTCTGGAACATGACAAGCAGCGCGTACATCTACAAGATAGTGAGTCATGTAACCAAGATCCGCCAACCGCCGATCGTTAGAGTACCACAAGCAATGGCTCGTCAATGAAGGCGCGAGTGATTCGATTGTGTACAAGTTAGAAGAAGACGAAAGAACACAAATAAAAGTACAAAAGTATTTTTATTGTAAAAACATTTGTTTATAGAATTAGTACAGAATATTCAAGTATTGGTTTGTAGGGATTTGATTGATTGGTTACAGGATTTCATCATGAGCTGACATCAGTTAGAGAACCATTGGAAAAACTAGGAGTGCTGCCAGACACCTGTTTCGCCCTAGTTTTGGACTCTTGATCAGTACGCACCCACAAACCAGGGCTAGAATCCGCGACCTTCTGGTTAGAAGGAGAGCTCGTAGACCATTAAGCCATTGGGACCCAATCACAAGTTAGAATTCATGGGCCATTGGATTGGGGTCCTAGTGGCTTAATGTTCTACCACCTCGCCTTGTAACCAGAAGGTTCTGGGTTCCAGACCTGGTGGATGCGTACAGAATATTGATTTTAGCAGTCGAAGAATACAATTTTTTGTCATTCATTGTGTTTTGGATTTAAAGTCGATATCTGTGCTTATTGGTTGTCGATTCGGAGCGTCTTTGCAAAAATAATAGGAACTTACGGATTAAGTTCCCTGACAATGCTTCCATCAGTGACTTATTTAAAGCAGTATTTTAAAAATCTTCATCGATTAATTCCAGATTTCGGTTCAACTGTGTAAAACCCAGGAAAATGGTTTCCTCGATTCACAAAAATTGTCTCTTTTTAACATGTGTGATATTTCAGTTATACTAGTTGTAATTGCGAGGGAGGAATAAAAACCGACATTCGAAATCCAGCTAAGGTTTTTTTTTATTTCAGCTTGATTCCACACCGCATTTTTTTCGTACAGGTATGGAATTTTTAGCATGTGATGTCGGTAGCCTATCTGTCTGTCCGTCTGGATTCAACATAGAACTTGTCACCGAAGTGCAGCTGTCCGAGTTGCCACCTTCCAAATAGCACACAAGGTAGACAAGAAGATGAGTGAAGAGAATCAAAAGAGTTTGACAAGTATAAGAGTGAAACAGAATGGGTAATGGTAGAAAGGAATATGAAAGATTACAGAGACTGAATACATCTGCGCTGGCCATTGACAACGATTTTGAGCCATGTCACCTATTGTCTCCAGCCATTGATTACTAGAGCCCCGAGGGCCCCAACCCAGGAGTCTGCATCTCCCCACCTGACTCAGTTTAACTGTCAAGGATTTCATGGATTGATGAGGCCATGTTTTTGTTTGGCCACCACTTACTCTTTTCCAACCTGCACCTATATCAGGTAGTAATGCCCGTCGGGGGAGGCGATGGTTAGGCCTGCCCATATTTTGCAGACCGACCATAGATATCAGGTGTGCGTAGGCAAGGGATCGAACCCTGGACCACTGTGCCAACGACGCACATGAAAAAACATAATAATGTGAGAACTAGATAGGTTAAAAAGCGGACATCACTCTAAGAAGAATGCATGATAGAATGCATAAGAAGAATTATCCTTACCTGACTGGTTTGTAAGGGTTATAAGGTTCCCGTCTATGTGAAAAAAATTTATCCGGTGTAGTTTCATGATACGGCCGTTTATTATTCGAAGTAGACGGTGAAGGGACAGGTGTTGATTCTGATGAAGGAATATAAAGCGATGCATTTGAAGCAGTTAATTCACATTGTTCACTATGTACATCAGCCTGAACTGTTGAATACTGATCATTAAATGCAGAGTAATCTGAAAATAAAGAAAGAAAGAAAAAGGCCAGCAAAACACTTGATTATTCAATCAGTAAATATCAGTGGAATTACTTGTGACTTGTACAACTATTTGGAATGTGTGCAATGAGATAAGACGCGATGACTGCTCGTGACAAAACCCAGAAATTGATCTGAGGGGATGACCAACCTGACTAACCGAAATAATTCATAAAATGAAACAGTATATTATTATTTTGGTTTATAGTGAGCGACTAGAAGTGGAATTCAGGATTCGCATCTTGTCAGGTAGATATACTTGCATCTCCAGTCATTGATACTGTTCCCATGGAAATTTAAACCCTCCATCCACCGTTTCAAATACCAAGGTGTAAAATCTGCTGTAGAAGCCATGTTTTGTACAATGGGTATCATAGTTATTATTTGTTTCGTGTTTTTGTCTTTGCGATTAATTGGAATTCAGGCCTACTGAATGATAACATTGAAGTGAAGCATTTAGAACACCATCAACCACTGGGGATGAGCACCCTGGACTCCACTGTCTGTCTGTCTGTTTTCGACATAGAACTTTGCACCAATCTGCACCAGTTCAAGTCACCACTCTCCCTCCTTGTAGGATGCAAAGAAAGAGAACAAAGTAGAAGAAATGCATAACAGAGGCAGTAGACAGAGATATGAGACGAAAGGAATAGTAATAACGAAGAATAGTATAGTTTGCGAAGCTTTCATCACCTTACTGGGTGACATCTTCAGCGCATACTTCAATTTGAAGTATGCGCTGAAGATGTCACCCAGTAAGGTGATGAAAGCTTCGCAAACTAACTATCCAGCTCAGAGAACAAAACCACATCAAAATTATCCGCCTGAGCTACAAATCTTCTCTATCATATCTGAAGAATAGTATAATTTCATTGGATATCATAAGTCACAAGGAGTGGAGGCGTCTGCGACAGCCACTGATACCGATTTTGAGCCATATCACCTATTGCTTACAACTAATGGTTATACCGTCCCGAGGACCCCAACCATGGAGGCTATACCTTCCTACGTGGCTAAACTGACCGTTGTGGATTACATTGACAGATTTGACCGCCTCTAGCACTTTTCCAGCCTGACCCTATGTCGGCTAACATTTCCCGTTGTCGAGGAAAGCGATGGCTAGTCATTCATTCGTAACACATGTCCTAACCATCTCAGTTGATGTAATTTCACAGTCTCGTCGTTTGATTTTCCCTCCCACCTACCTAGCATTCGATCGAAGCCTAACCTCAATATTGCTCACCTTATTAGCTGTCTTTGATCATAGGTGGCACAGTGGTTAGGACTCTCGCCGACCATGCACATGGTTCGGGGTTCGAGCCCACGCCGGCGCACACCTGATATCTATAGTTGGCCTGCGAAATTTGGGCTACCGATATCCATGCTGAAAATTCCATACTTGTACCAAAAATACAGTGTGGAATCAAGCTGTAAATCAAAAATTAAAAAAATAAAAAAATAGGTGCCTGCGTTCTATTTCCCGTGTAAAGTGGCATAATAAGGTGAGCAACATGGAGGTTAGGCGTCGAGTTCTAGGTAAACAGGGGAAATCAATCGACGAAGTGGTGAAGTTAAAAAGACTGAGATGGTTAGGACATGTGTTACGTATGCCAAGCCATCGCCTCCCTCGACGAGCTATGTTAGCGGATATAGGGTCAGACTGGAAAAAAGCTAGCGGCGGTCAAACAAAAACTTGGCACCAGTCAATGAAATCCACAACAGTTGGTCTAAGCCATGTGGGAAGGTGTAGACTTCCAGGCTGGGGTCCTCGGGACGGTAAAAATCTATGGTTGGAAAAAATTGGTGACATGGGTCAAAACCGTTCTCAGTGGCGCAGATGCATCCACTCCCTGTGACTTATGATCTTCAATGAAACTGTTTTGTTCTTCGTTATTACTCCTCCTTTGTCTCACACCGCTGCTTACTGTCTCTATTATGCTTTTCTTGTACACTCTTCTCTTGCTTCGCGTGCTACACGGAATGTGGCGACTTGAACTTCCGCACATTTGTGCAAAGTTCTATGTCGGAAACAGACAGACAGACACCTTATTATACCACTTCACACGGGAGATAGAACACAGGCACCTATGATCAAAGACAGTTAGCCAGCCAGTTCATGTATCCCACTTTCAATGGCAAGGTCTTAAAGCCATGAAGGAGGACGAAGCGGACTGCTAAGCAGTACACCACTCCACTGCTAGTTAACATCAACCAAAATAACACCATGAACTAGTGGGGGTACATCGTAAACAAACTAATCATTCTTTTGAATATTTTACACCATTGGTCACACATCCATGTGAATCACATACAAGTTATGTAGATTTAAGATCAATAGAATGAGTGATAATATCTTGAATTTTAAAATGCCTTTATGACAAACAAGTGCAGTTAACATTTGAAAAATAATAGGAATATATCACACGGTGTTATGTAGCGTCATTATTTCGATAAGAATATGAATAAATATAGCGCATGGTCAAGTCCAATAAGTTAACAGCTATGTTACCTGAATGACATTCAAAGGAAATAAGAAAAAAAGGACTGAAAAACTTGCCGGCTACCTTAACTGGACACTTTCGTTTGAATTTCGTGCATCAACTAATGATAACCTTAACAACTTTGTCGAAATGTTTTCAATTTTTCATTATACTACTCATGAGTACAACAAAAACTTCCTCGTTAATTATGTGGGCATAAAACAAAAAACCATTCACCGAAAATTCCACACAGTTTAAAATAAATTTAATGGAATGATAATACGAATCAACTAAACTTCTTGTTTGACGTACTGGTGGATATACTAAATCTTCCACAGCCGGAAACGTGGGACAAAGATCACACCCTGTCGACTAGCACTCGAAGGTCAACTCGACAAAAGCAGAATACCGAATATCCCCTGTGGATATAATTTATTTCGATAAAGTCTCACAGTGTTATACAGTAATATTTACTGATCACCACATTTCGAGCACAATTTAATACTGCTTATATTCATATTAAATTACTCACACTTCTTCCTAACTTCGTTTAAATAGTTCCATTGCTAAATAAGCTATCGTTAACACAAACAGGATCCTGGGCAAAGAGTTGGTTGTATTCCTATTTTTCTGATAGAATGCAGTGTACTGTATATAACGGCAAATCTTCTTCTACCTCGCTTACAAAATCCAGTGTTCCACAAGGTGCCGTCCTCTCTCCTTTTCTTTTTTCTTTCTTCCTACACGACCTGCCTCATTTAAACGAAACTAGTTTTGTCAAATATGCGGATGATCTGGCTGTATCACTGCCTATCAATTCCGAGTCTGACAGCTCCAAAATTAATAGCTTCCTGTTGGACATCAGCAAGTGGTCTAAGTCAAATGGTCTTATGTTAAATCCTTCCAAATGTCAGGCAGTTAACTTCAATTTCAAGCATTGACGTGACATACATGAACTAGTTAGTTTCTATCATTCCGGTAGCACAGATGGCACTGAAATTGAAACCAAGTCAAGCATTAAATATTATGGATTAGTTCTTTCCTCTGACCTTTCATGGTCCACATCCCACATCTTATCAATCGCTAAGAAAATGTTTCGTCTTAACTTCTACATTAAAAAGTTAAAACAATCAGGTATCAACCAACCTTTAGCTTTGCAATTTTTAAACTCCTGTATTTTACCTATTGTACTCTGTTGCTCTCCATTAATCTTTCCTGGGCTTCTCGAAAAAGACTATATCATATTACGAAGGCTATTCAATGTTGTGAGTGGGGCTTGTGGTATGCCTTTGCGTGAGCTCACCAATATTATAGTCGAGAGACACATAAATTCCTGTACAAAATGGGCAAAGGCTATACTGTCAGACCCTCTGCACTCGCTTTGTTGATAACTATCCACGTGCATCTCACCAGGTAGGACGAGAAGTCAATATAAGAAGTTATATGCTCGAAGCACTAAGTACAAAAGTTCTACGATACCTTATTTAGCCCACATTTTATGTGATAGAGACACTGTTAGACGTGAAACATAAGTTACTATGTACACACACACACACACACAAATAATTATATAAAAATGCAATTGTACAGTTATGTGTATGAATTGGCCGAAAAGAGTTTCCTTGCTGAACGTCTTCTCATTTTAATACTATGTTAGTAGCAAAGTGAATCGACCTTTTCATCAGTCATTTTTCTGTAATTTTATGGTGTCAAGCTTTCTATCGTTAAATTATAACTTAGCTATTTTATTTTAGTTGTTATTACTATTACGACCTTGGCGGCCTGTTTGACATCTGGGCTACCTTTTCCTGCATCTACATATTGCATCTAATAAGTCATGTTTTCATTCCTAACTTTAATAAAATATGATCGCAAATCGCATAAAATACAGTAATTCATTCATTAAACGTTTTAAACCATGTGACTTTCATGCATCTAATAAATCTAAGAGAAAACATCACGCTGGCTGGCAGCGTGCACTTAAACAGACACCTTTATATCGTACAACTATTCCTGTTATTGTCACTTCAAACTGCCGTTCACTTCCCAACAAAATAATGCATCTCCAGTCTCTCTTATCACAATACGGCGATTGTTGCATTACAAGAAACATGGCTCCATGAACTCTATGATGACAATCTGGTTTCCCTAAATAGTTTTACATTGTTTAGACAAGATCGACTATGCTCCAGAAAGAAAAGAGGTGGAGGTGTTGCAAAATTCATTCATTCTCAATGATCAACTTCAAATGACGTATGTTTTTCTTACTCTAATGACTTTATTGATTGTATAACAGTCAAATGTCTCCCAAAACACTTATCCAAGTTTAAATACGTCTTCATCTCAAACAGTTATGTTACTCCTGGATGTTCTGCCTCGGATCTATCTGATTTTGCTGATGAATTCACTGAATTCGCCGTTACACTTGAAAACTCTTTATCAGTTGTCACAGGAGATTTTAACTGCTGTGATTGTTCTTTCCTCGTATCATTAGGTCATGCCAATATTGTTAAATTCCCTACTCGACTTGATAAAACTCTGGATCTAGTGTTCATTAATGATGAGGAAATATATGAAGTACGCAGACGTGCTCCTATCATGAACTCAGATCATTGTATTATTCGGATATTACCTAAGATATACAGCAGATCTCACTTTAATATCTTCTCAAATCTGTCCAAGAAAACACAGCAAAGGTGTTACTCACAAGCAAATATGCTCAAACTTAGATGTATGCTATTTTTTTTCATTATTAGTGTTTATCTTCCTTTTTATTTGGTATTTTTTACTTGCATTTTTTTCTTTTCTTTTGTTTTTTTTGTTATTTCTGTGTTTCGTTTTTTGGTTTATTTTTGTCGTGTTTTTTTATATTTATTTCTTTTTGTAATACTCCTTTTTAATGTACGATGAAATTAGATGCAATATTGTAGATATGTGCTGAAATTTCCACACTGTACCACAAGTACTGTTTCTGGAATAAAGCGAAATTGTTATGTTATGTTATATTACTACAATTTTATACTTTATGCATGTTTTTCTCCCTAACGCATACTGTTATTGCTACATAGCTGCTATAACAGCGTTTTGTTATTACCAGGCTTCGAACCCACGACCTCCTAGTTACAAGACGAGCTCGCTCGTAGACAATTGAGTCACTGGGACCCGATCCAATGGATCTTGGATTCTAACTTCTGGCGATTCAAGACATAGCGCGACCATTTCGCAATGTCTTTTTCGATGAGTTACTGCCTCATCTTCAACCTGTTGTGCCCTTCTGGTCACGGCTTCCCAGTAGAACTTTAGGTAACTGCCTGGATGGAACCAGGCGTTAGTGAGCATCAAATTAATTTTCAAGTATTGGTTTTGTAGGGATTATTTGTTTGATTGCATGGAGGATTACGTCATGTCGTGAATTGGCAGAAGTTAGAATTCATGGATTGGCCATTGGATCAGGTCCCAGTGGCTCAATGGTCTACGAGCTCACTGGCCTTGCAACCAGGAGGTCCTGGGTTCGAACCCTGTCCGTGAGTGTGTACTGATGAAGAGTCCCGAACCAGGCTGACAAAACAGCTGTCTGGCAGTACTCCCAGCCGGTTTTCAAATGGTTCTCTAACGAATGTCAGTTAGCTCATGATGTGTATCCTCCAAGCAATCAAACAAAAAATATCCTTACAAAACCAATATACTTGAAAATTTAATATTTGCTTCTTAACGTAGAATGGATACCATTATTCTGATGTCGAGGAATAACAGAGATTTGACAGACCGGAAGGATCTACATCTCCAACTCAGGTTGTTTTGCGCATTTTCAAAAGTTACAATTAAATTAAAAGTTTAGATATAAGCAGGTGTACTTCAGATGCCGACAATAAAGTATAGATTAAAAATGTTTAATTTCTAAACACAGAGAAAGTGGAATCAAATCTAAAAGCCCTGATAAAAATTGATTACTCAACTAGTCACGTGCCCAACAGTTAGGGCGTTAACCGACTGACAACGGGATTAACTTCATAATTACCTTATCAACTGATGGGCAGATAACTTTTTCAAAGGGACATAGCAAAAACAGAAAGTATAGGGAGGTGGATCGTTAATCACGCAGAACAATGAATTGTAAACCTGATTTCTTTCTAGCTATTTTATAAGGTAACACAGAATTATAATATATAAATATATATATATATATAGCTTGAAGTTCTTGAGAATTTTGTGCATCTGGGTAGTTGTGTAAGTGCTGGCGGAGAGGAGTGACGGATGAGGTTTCCAACCGTATCATAAAGGCTAGGGTAGCATACATCGACTTGAGCCACCTCTGACGCCTGACTGTAAGAGGTCGGGTATACAATGCTTCGGTGCGGGCTGTCTTGCTCTACGCTTGTGAAACGTGGCTTCTCCGAGCTGAAGACGTACGGCGGCTCTGCGTGTTCCGTCATCTCTCTCTCTCTCCGTAGGATTACTTGCTTTCGATGGCATCATCGCGTGAGTAATTCTGAGGTTCGGCGGCGTGTGTTTGAACATAGTGGAGATCACCATTCATTGGTGTCGTCATCTGAAAACACCGGCTCCGGTGGCTTGGATATATGCTGCGAATGTCATCCCAGAGGTTTCCGTACAGGTTTCTGTTCGCTAACCAGCTCCGAGACGGGATGGATAAGGCGGAGGTGATGAATGCTGTTTGAACTTGTCAAGTATGACTGTTTTCCTTCCAGATGAAGTTCTTTATCCATTCTCTACTTATACATAGATATTTTTCTTTTCTTTCTTTTTATCTGTGTTGTTTTATTATTATTGTGTGGCGCATCCTTCTTGATGCCATATTGTACCAAGTTTTCTCTCTGTGTTTAAATAAATAATAAATAAAATATATAAGACATAAATATACGTAAGTTTACAAATTATTACTTGGTGAAGATCCAAGAATTTTCTCAGTCGCCTTTTGTAAAGTAACGGATGTACTACTACTCGCTGAGCCTGTAACTTTATTTGAAGAACATAAACAACTTGGATTCCATTTTGGATTAAGTTGTACAGCTGTACCATAACTCGACAGAATACAAACATCTTCGTAGATTGCACATTCTTCACGATAGGCTAAAACAGCATCACAGCCAATAGTACGCATATGTGTAACTATTTCTGTGCGCAGTTCAAGCCACCATGCATCTCGAAATTGTATTCCAGCTATTGAAAAAAAATTGCATCGGCAGTTTAAAAAAATATAATTCCAATAAACAGCTAAAATCAATCCTTATGTAAATATTACTAAGCATACGACTGAGATGACCAATGCAATTTAGACTGAAAATATTCATGTAAAACAAACACTACTTAAATATTTATTTAGTAGGTTATCGATATACATTAAAAAACAGAATAATGTGAAAACGCGCATACAATCTCAAGCTACATCGGAGAAAGGGAGTACAGTCCAATCAAACCATGCATGTATAGAAAAATTTCACATAGAATACGATGCGTATTAGCTCTGTGAGATTTATTGGTCAAACTGGTCTTTATTATTATTATTATTGTTCCCTTGGGTTCCTAGTGGAACATAGTCTGTCTGTCTGTCTGGATTCAACATAGAACTTGGCACCGAAGTGCAGCAGTTCCAGTTGCCACGTTCCAAATAGCACACAGAGGTAGACAAGAAGATGAGTGGAGAGAATTAATAGAGTTTGACAAATATAGGAGTGAAACAGAATGGGTAAGGGTAGAAAGGAATATGAAAGATTACAGAGATTGAATACATCTGCGCCATTGACAACGATTTTGAGCCATGTCACCTATTGTCTCCAGCCATTGATTCCTAGAGTCCCGAGGGCCCCAACCCGGGAGTCTGCATCTCCCTACCTGACTCAGTTTAACTGTCAAGGATTTCATGGATTGATGCCATGTTTTTGTTTGGCCACCACTGGCTCTTTTCCAACCTGAACCTATATCAGCTAACAATGCCCGTCGGGGGAGGCGGTGGTTAGGCATGCGCACCACGTGACCTAGCCATCTCAATCTATGTAACTTTATAACCTCGTCGATTGATTTTCCCTCTTTGCCCAACACTCTACGCCTAACGTCAACATTACTTACCTTGTGAAACCACCTAACGTGAGACAGAGATCGCAGACATCTATGATCGAAAGCACTCAACCTTTTCATGTCTTCAACGCGTATTGGCCATGTTTCAGAGCCATAGAGAAGGACGGAGCGAACTGATGAGCAGTACACACGTCCCTTGGTTGATAACCGGATGTCACGCCTACGCCAGAGATGGTGTAGGTCAGCGAAAGCAGCTCGAGCTTTTCGAATCCGTGCTGAGATTTCATCGCCAATCAGTCCGTTGGTGCTAATACAACTTCCCAAGTAGGTGAAGTGGTCAACATGTTCTATCACTTCACTCCCTATCACTAAGTTAGGGGTTGACGTGGAACATAGGGCTTCAGCTGCACGTCTCCACTCGCCACTTCTATCTTCTGCTGTACTTTTCACCTGCATTCATGTTAGTTCATACTGCTTCAGCTCCCATAGATTCTTGTTTGTGATTCTTCCCCGCCATCTGATCTTCAGTATACAGCGAAGACAGTTGTTGATAAAGGTCTGAAACAGGCTGTTGGAAATATTCTATGTGACCCTCCCGCCAAATTTCTGAGCCGTATAGAAGAACTGACTGACTTGGCCAACCATTGATATCAGGTGTGCGTCGGCAGGGGATCGGACTCCACACCATGTGCATGGTCAGCGAGAGTTCTAACCACTGTGCCCCCGACGCACATAAAGAGAGGACCGTGAGGCCTCCCCACTGACAAAAACTACACGCCCGAGCGCACCTGATTAGGGTGAGTTTCGACCCACCGAGGTGCAATGGTGAGTCTCCACGCGGGGTCAGAGCATTCTTGATCACCCTGAACCCGGCGCCAGAGAGAGACTGAGGTATCAAACACAATGCTAACCCTATGGAAGATATATGACAGTATGTACTCTGGCCTTAAAACGTTTGTAGTTAGGATAGCATAGCCCTGATAGCATATTCACCTCTCTAGTAAGTTCACGAGTTACAACATTGTTTTTTAAAAGTAGTTCTGGATATTTAGGTGTGTTAGATATCTCAGAGCTGAAAACATCAAAAGACGTCTCGAGACCAGTAGTAGTAGTGAGTCTACTAAAGACAGTTTATACCATTCTCAATAAGTATTAGAAAGAAACTGCGAGTTTTCAAGTGAAATTTTATTCCATCAGTTAAATCAAGGCAGTCAAACAATTTTCTAGCTTACCGAAATGTTGCTTTGTAGGGATTTGATTGATTGGTTACAGGATTTCATCATGAGTTGACATTGGTTAGAGAACCACTGGAAAACCTGGGAGTACTACAGGACACCTGTTTCGTCCTAGTTTGGGACTCTTCAGTAGTAAGAACCCACCGGGGTTCGAAACCAGGACCTTCTGGTTACAGGGCCAGTGAGCTCGTAGACCACTGAGCCGCTAGTACCCGATCCAATGGTCAACCCGTGAATTCTAGCTTCTGCCAATTCACGGCATAGCGCGACTACTAGCCAATGGTCTTCGGCGAGTATTTCTCCTTACACCTGACCTGCTGCACCCTACTGGTCACTTCTCACTAAAACTAGAATAGGGCAAGTCGCTATTGCAAATGTCATCGATGAGATGGCTTAGTAGTCTACGAGCTCGCCTTGTAACCAGATGGTCCCGGGTGCGTACTGAGGAAGAGCCCAAAACTAGGACGAAACAGCCACCCAGTACTCCAAGTTAGTTTTCCAATGGTTCTCTAACCAATATCAGCTCATGATGAAATTTTCTAGCTTTTTTCTGCTACTTAGTTCGATTGTATTTCATGTTTTAGTTTTAACTGTAGTTGTATTTTCATGTCACTGGAATTACCGTTATGTCATTCTTCTTAGCGAAAATGAGATAATGATTCGATGCATAATGTGATTAGTATTACTGCGCACTTCAAGTTTGATCGCGAACCTGCATCAGTTACAGAAAAATTAAAATCCCCGAATACTGGACCGCTGTTCAGCTCTTTTTTTGGCATATTTGTGTTCTCTCTGTTTTCCGCCTAAACACCCAGCTCAGAGAACATACACAACTGCACGCAAATCATTTGTATTATGTCTGTCCAACCCGCGTTTGGTACTCTTCATTAGTATGTACCCCTATGACCCAACAGCCAGGAGATCGAACCCAAGACCTTCAGGTTACAAAGCAAACTCGTATACTGTTCAGTCACTCGGGTGGAATGAAGCCATCGCCAGCCAGTGTCACCCGCGAGCATTTGTCCTCCCATCCAACCTCGTGGACACCACTGGTCAAGATTTCTTCCCAGAGCTTCAGTCAGTAGCTAGCAGCGGGTCATGGGTGAGAAATGATGAAGTGTCCAAAACAAGGACGAAACAAGCACTCAATGCTCCTTGGTTGAATAAATGAAAATCAATGCTTGAAAATTGTCCATTTATAGAACTACATTTCATTATAAGATCGATAAATCCATTGTTGCATAAAAAGTTACTAAGACCAAATTACCTGGTGAATTTTTGTCAAGCAATCTAACAGATTTTGAAGCAACCACACTGCCAAAATGTAATACCATACCAGGTAAGGGTTGAGATATGGTTAAGAAAGGGAACTCCTAAAACCAATGCAAATGAGAGTATTCACACAATTGAAGAATATGCATATTTAAAATGCAGCAATGAAAAATAAAAAAAGGAAAAAATTATGCCAAATTCGTTTATGACATAAAATTGAAAATTTCAGTGTGTGTAAGTGTGTGACTGATAGATAGGCGGTGAACCACTAGTGTTGAGTGTGTCGACCACTCCACTTATCCATAAAGTTGCATGAGCCACTGTGGACTGACTACTAACAAAATCTACGGAAGGATAAACACGGGTTTTCATGTAGCTGTATTCTCCGAATTGAATAGATCACTTGCGAAGAAGTCTTCATTTTCCCCACTAGGCAACATCTTCAGCTTCAAAAGTCAGCTATCCAGTTCAGAAAACGCAACCACATCAAAATCAGCCACATAAGCTACACAACTCGTCTTCATTATACAAGAGGCTTCTGGGGTGTATCTGACTACTTACGTCACCTATTTCGCAAACATGACATTCAGCTGTCAATCAAAAGACCCGTGAACTGTTAAACAGTCTGCGCTGTCCACCTTTATGGCTGTGAGACATGGCCTTTGAAAGCGAAAAATAGAAAAAGACTGTCTTTAACAACAAATGTGCATGTTTTATCGCCCTTCTTAAATGTCATCACATGGTCAGTAATATTGAAGTTGAGAGTAGAAAGTTTAGATAAGTCAATGGATGTGGTTGTGAAGGCACTTCGATTGACATGCTTTGCACGCATGTTACACATGCTGATTCACCGTCGTCCCGATTACTAACTAATGTTAGTCGACATAGGATTAGGTTGGAAAAGAGTTGGAATTCATGAAATCAATCAATCAATCAATGAAATCAATCAATCAAAAAAATCCCTACAAAGCCGATACTTGAAAGATTCATGAATTCACCGGGTGTTAGTTTGAGCCAGTCAAGTACGGATAGGTAGGATGCTGACTGAAGTCCTCATGATGCTAAAAAAGCCAATGATTTGAGACTATTGACGATTCACCCCGAAGTTGGTTCTCACTTCAACAGATGTATTTACTCCTAGTCATCTCCTAGATCTCATAAAATCCTCACGTTTTTTCCACGGTATTATTCTTTGTCTCACACATTACTGTTCCTCTCTTTCTTCTCTATCTACCCTTGTGTTCTACAACAATTTGAATCGCTGAACTTTTGTGCACACTTATATTTGTTGAAACTCAATAAGTCAGCCAGTCAGACAGCCAGCCTCAGCAGTTACTGTTAGCTGTCTGTTCTGATGAATATTGGAAAAATGATCTCAAAAGCATAACGGTCCCTGCTTACCACTACGACCACTGGAAAACTGGAAAGCTTTCAACCTGACGACTTTATGAACACAGACTGTATACTATTTTACTGAAGGGGTTTTATTATTCACTGGAAAAAAAATGCCGATAAAAGTTGTATGACACAGCTAAAGATTACATCAGGTAGATTGAGGAATAAACTAAGCGACTTCTAATATAAATGTGTGAAAATTGGGCACTGTAGTATTAAGTAATTCCATATTGGTTTGTTTATTAGATGTATCACACGTTCAGTGGAACAGTGTTATTTGCTGGATGACACAGTTTCGAACACAGTTCATTATTGTTCATCATCATTCCATCAATTATAATCACACGAATTCGAAACTTGAGTTTTGCAGTTTTCTTTGTTCTCTCCTATTTGTCATCGTACGGGTAGTAGAATTTTCCAGATATCTGGGTTGACAGGTGTTGAATCACTCCTACTACACGTATTCTTTCTCAGTTGATTCGATAAACAAAGAATCTGTTATCAATCTCTCCCTCCACTCTGCTGGTATATTATATTTTAAAACTGTCTTCTTGTTCCATCCATCCTATTGTATGGTTGTGTGTAATTGCATGTAGTGGGTGGTATAGCTGAACTATCCTCTAGACTTCTTATCTACGTGTCGGGTCAACTAATCTAGATTTTGCTAGGCTTTTGTGTTCGGCTGGTCTGACTGACTGAACCCTGTTCCACTACTTTGACCTATGTATTTGACCTGACAATCATGACAGGTAGGGTATTAGATAAACTAAATTGTTTTGTTGATTGATCCTCTAACCGACAAAACTTGTTTCTAATTGAGTTTGTGAATGGTTCGCATGCCAGCCACTTTTATTCATGCTTGCCTTGTTAAGAATTGTGCGTAAGGTGGTTTTGCGAGGTTCCTTCTTTGAATGGAAGTACTATTAATAATTTAGATACCTTATTGTTGGTGTTGTCATTATCCTGTGCACGTTTGACATGCATGTTGTCAAAAATATTTTTATTATTACTATCACTTAACTATCAATATTTATTTTATTTTTATTTTCACATTTCCCTACATATTTCTTGACTAATTTATCCGGGTAATTATTAAGTTTCAAGGCTTCTTTTATGTGTACCACTTCCTTTTCCTTGATACTACTTAGGTTTTGTGCTCTAGTTTTTGCGACTTATAATTGCATATTTTGGACACCCACTGTAGATTATTTCTCAATTCTAAACGTTGAAAACTATAATAGACAAACAACAGTTAGGCCGAGTAGAAAACATACATAAACAGAATCATGAAACAGGCAATACCACTTACTCCTAGCTCCAAATTTTGAGGAATATGCGAAGGAATACTGTGTGTACCTAAAAAAAGTAACACATCATAAAAAGTTTGGTTTGTAAGGGTTCGTTTTTTTTACGAGTTGATCACGGATTCATATCAGTAAGAGAAGCATTGAAAACCAGTCACAGGGAGTACTGGACAACCAGCTGTTTCATCCTAGGGCTTGGGAATCATCGGCAGTACGCACCCACTGGTTGCGGTCGCGCTAAATGACGAACTGATAGAAGTTAGCATTCATGAGCCATTGAATCAGGTCCCAGTGGCTGAATGGTATACGAGCTAGCTTGCCGTGTAACCAGAAAGTCCTGGGTTCGAACCCCAGTGAAATGGGTGCATACTGCCGATGATTCCCAGTACCCTAGTGCTGGTTTTCAATGCTTCTCTAACTGATATCAATCGGTGATCAACTCGTAAAAACCGTAAAAAGTATTCGAACAAAAATGAAAAAAAAGATATGAAAATCAAGCAAGTTGATAAGCAGAGCAATAAAGCTGCAAAGCTAAACCGTCAATTTAAATGACGAATCGCCAAACTAAGAACATTCATATGACTTTTTAGTCGATTTTGACTTTCCCATTGATTCAGAGGATAAAAATCTGTTTAACCTCTCTCTGTTAATATGTCAGGTCGTAGTACGGACGCTTCAGCGATGTCTGAAGTTTAAATTCGATGGACATTGACCAGCATTGGAATCCAGGATGTGCATTTAGTTCTGTTGTAACAACAGAAGACAAAGGCCAGGCAACAGATCGTTTATTAAGGAAATCAAGACATATTTATAGACTTTTATGTACATTATTATAGACTATCTTAAGCAAATAAACACCGTCTTCTGATCGGTGGTTTCTTTCTGAACGTTAATCTTTCATCTCTTCGTGGCCGTTCATTGAATTTCAGATTGTCTATCTGCAAATTGTCCCCACCTACGCAAAGTCTGCTGTGGTTGTTTGTTGAATCAGTCTTCGTTCTTATTTTTCTCACGACCAATATTGGGGACGTACACATTGACGTAAATAACTATGTAGCAATTTTGGCTAACAGCCAGCTCTCACAACACTATGTCGTGCTCAGGTGGTCTAGTGGATAACATTCTGGGTACTCGGTTCGAGTCTGAGTAGGTACACCATCATTCATCGGGGAATGAGGATACATCCAAATGACGAGTCCCAAATAAGACGAAATGAGCATCTACTGTTAGAAAACAGAAAGATTGAGCGAAGAAATATTTACTTTTCAATTAGATCCTCATCTCTGGCTCTACTCTAATATACACGTATAGCATTTTAATTACAATACTCAACAGTGTACCAATCAAGTGGCGATAAGTGTGTTGACAATAATTAAACAGTGTCAATGGGTTAATAGTTAACGAAGGAAATCAATACACAATTAAAAGGTGGAAATGGATAGAATAAATTAATTTTACAAGAATAACACGTAAATTAAAGATAAAGTGGTCAAAATAAATAAGATGAAATAAATAATTTAGACAAATATAATTTTATAGGTTTAGGGGGAAGGGGGTGACGCAGTCCTGTTTATCCATTCTTGTGACGATGGCCGCCACGGTAGGGAAAGTGGCTGTCACCGCCCACCCCAAATGACTTCAAGGCAATATGTGTGACTTGATATAATTAATTATTAATTAATAGCTCTTTTAGAATTTCAAAACTACTTTATACACTAAATAACTAGATACCTTTCTTCTCGGAGAAACTGATTTCTAAAAACTTCAAAACATGACTGGTTGAAAGAATCAACAAACTACAACTTCAAATAAGACCACAATCTGCCTTCATAACTGCTGTGTACGTGTGTGTGTGTGTGAAAAGTTTGTGCACTTTAGAATAGAGAGTTGTGACTTATTGGTTTATGCACACTACATCCTACTAGTGGTTCACGGATTGAAATCCCTCCCCACCACCACCGATCTTACCGAGTTTTCAGTAACCAAGGTAGATCACTAACCCTCACACTATCTGAGGGATATTGCCAAATGCATAGAATTACCACAAGTTGTTGAGTAACAATACTTATTGATTTAGAATGGATCAATTTACTGGATGTGTATCTGTGTTTACATATATATATAATAAAGGTTGCATGGAGGATTTCATCATGAGCTGACATCAGTTAGAGAACCATTGGAAAATCCGCCGGAGGTACTGAACAACTGTGAGGGTTAAGACACTGCCCAAGCGCCCAGTTCGAGGCAGGCGGTTGTCTTAAGGGAATACCACCCCTAAGGTTTCGATTCGGCGCCTCATCTACATGGCAGCGGCACAACAACAAGAGCTACGCTCCCATGGTTTCCGGTGACCAATACGGATTCAAACGTCATTCAATCCGATTGCTTTTTGTCTAACAGCTATCCGAACAAATTTAATGGCATGGTAGCACCTTCAGGAACATAAGTTCCAGCCAGTGTAGCTTCTTGGGTTACCACGATATGCGAGCCCAACCACCACGACAAGGTAGCAGTTGTCGGCTGGGTGAATTACTGGTTAATCGTTGAGACCCCCAGTACAAATCTGGTAGAGCCAACGATATGCAGTTCAGTTTGAATTCAGAAGGATGTTACCAGAAAAACCTATAATGAGCCAAAGGTCATTTCATAAGCAGTATTAAAACGGGTGAATTTGCATGCATACAGTATATATATATATATATATATATATATATATATATATATATATATATATATATATATATATATATATATATATATATATATATATATATATATATATAGGTAGTAACACAATATACAATAACTTACATTCTGGAGTGTATTCTCTGTGAGTTGTAGGGGATTCTTGTCTAAATGGACAGTTTCTAAAAAGAAAAGGTAGTTAGACTCAAATTAATGATAAATTGATGATATACCTGGTGTATAAGAAAGATATACAACAACATATAACAACAACAACTATCTAATATCATCAAATGTTGATTTAGTTTATTCGTAGAAAAGCAGTTGTTAGTTAAACACTAATGAATGAACCTAAAAATACATACTTCCGTACTCCTGTTGGACTGTTAGGAGGTGTTGTGACTGGACTGTACTTTCTCAGACGAACAGCTGTCCCAATTCCACGTACAACAACCCCAGTTTCGCCTTCTAAATCGAAGTGAAGTTGGTATCTGAAGAATAAAAAAAACCCAATGGGAAAAAATTGTATAATAGCGAAGATTGGTAGCTCAGGTGGATGATTTACAATTAATAGTGTTCTCTGAGCTGGTTGGTTTAGTTGCGGAGCTTTCGTCGCCCGTCCTTCTGGACAACATCTTCATGATATATTTGTAATAATTAAGAGAAATGATTAAGAATACATCCATAAATTATTTGAAGACATCAAATTCACCACGAGAGAAGAAGAATTAGATAACAAAATCCCATTTTTAGATGTCTTCCTTAATCAGGAGAACCAACACAAGAAATTTAGCAACACAAATATATAGAAAATCAACGCACACAGATCAAATTACTCAACTATACCAGCAATAATCCAATTACACACAGAAGAAACTGTGTGCAGATATTGTTTAAAAGAATTCAAACATACACACACACACTGTAGCACTTCAGAGTTGAAAAGAATGGAAGAAAAATGCTTACTAACGGTCTTCAAAAGGAATGGATATCCGCACAAATTCATCAAAGTGTTTGAAATCGAATCACAACACCGACAAGAAACCATCATCAAAGACAAAAAGGAAAATTCATCCTATCATATATAAAAAATATCTCTGAAATAACAGTTAGAGTATTGAAATCGTTTAAAATAGACATAGCACACAAACCAATCAAATCACTTGAATCATGAATATTGTGCGAACCGAAAGATCCAATAGAAAAAGAAGATAAACTTAATGCCATTTACAAAATAAATTGTATGAATCGTAGTAGACATTACATCCGCCAAAGTGAGCGTCCCCTTTCGAATCAGAATCCAGGAACACAAATCAGCTGTGAAAACAGATGATATATATATTCCTGTTTCATATCAATGCATGTGGATAATTATAGACACCAATTCGGTGATTGGGATAATGTCGAAATTTCAGAGAGAGGAGGCAGCGAAAGTGCAGTCAGGGAATTCCTAGAAGCCTGGTACTCAAAGGAACATGCAATTAACAGGCATGTTAATATAGACAAAATATACCAACTAATAAAAAGTAAATCATGTGACGCAATTCTAACATTCATGGAAAATTTAAATCATTTTACTTTATGCTAAATATTGCGCTGAAGATGTTATCCAGAAAGGGACGACGAAAGCTCCGGAACTAAACCAACCAGCTCAGAGAGCATTGCTAATTGCAAAAAAATCGTATAAAAGTCAGGAAAATAACTGATAAGACACTGACTCAGTAAATTAATTGAAGGAGGTTTTTATCCTCCCAATGGCACAAATTAGAGCATCATTATAAAAGAGTTATGAGGTATTGGACGGTTATTTAGTCCTTACTGTGGCACTCTTGAACACCCCGCAACTTCATCAACCTACCAATGAAAGAACTCAGACGTTCTGGTTGATGAGGCCTGCATGCATGCTATCATTTTGATCAATAAATCAGGATACAATGGTCAATCGATTGGAGCGCCAATCGGCGCCTATCCAATGCCATCGGCACGTAAGTTAACTTTCACATAAATACGTTTAAAAAAGAAACAACGACTGAATTTTATTTAACCAAATCAAACAATGTTGCATGTTGTCACCAATGTGTTCAGTAAAGATTAAGCATGGAAAATACAATTTAGTAAGTATTGAATGACCTCATTTTTACGGAAGACATAAATGGCTGTAAAGTTTACGCACTCACGCTTGTATAGAAACAAACCAAGTGTGTGTTTAACTCGTTTTGATGGATGATATCGCCAGAATAAACATTCATATCTATAGAGACTGCGATTAGCTACTGTAAAGCTAAACAATGGATCGTTTTGCACCACAGAACAGAGTGACAAGAAGATGCCTCACTAACCTGAAGGATAGTACTTACTATAGTAGGAGAATAACATGACAAAGGGGATGTGGTAGAGGAGAATGAAGCTCAGGAAGCCTTCGTGTGCTTCTGGAAGTGTGTGGAAGTGGTCGCTACTTCCCAGGTGCCCACACCACAGGCCAGCCAGTCACACACACCCTGTATGAACTGGTTTCTTGGTTTGGTTCCGTATTAGCAAACTTGCCGCCGGTTACGGACCACCCTAGGGTAGGAAGTCGGGATGTACAATTTTTGGGGTCGACCCCGTCTCTCCAGAGTGAAGAGACAGCATAGCTAGCTGGCTGGCATGCTGGTCATCTGAGGGAAACACCTCACTGAAGTTACATCCCTGTTCCTCAGCAGTACGACTTCGCCCACAGACCCCGAGCATAGTGTAAGAAAGATTCTTACACTATTCCGGTAAAAAATTTAGTCTAATCGCTGTCTTAACAACCTTCCTGGCATAGTAAGACCTGCAGGAACATTGGTTCCAACCAGTGTAGCTTGTTGGGTCATCGCGGTGTTAAAGCCCGACCACCACTTCACGGTAGTAGCTATCGGTCAAAGAACAGAACAAAGAAGACGTGCGTTTTGTCAAAAACAACGTCTCGGATTAATTAATAAACAATCTAATAAAAATAGAGACAGGAGAATATGACATATTGCAATATTTACAGAAGTATTCGAAACAAACAACAACAAAAATGGGTAAAAACATACCCAATCAAAGAATTGCCACCTAGATTCAAAACTTTCAGTCCCATTTTTCGTTGTAGCTCTCCTGAATTTGAAAAAAGAAATAAATAAAATTTGACCAGTGAAACAAGATATTTTAGTTAAATTGATGCCATGAAGTAGCAAATTTGATCTCGGCGCACTCACATAAATATATCAAACATCTAGCTACGAGTAAAATACCTTCTGTGTAAAGTATACTTTACGGATCATCATTGAACAAAGCTTGGAATGGCAGTCAGCTCACTACCTCTAACTCAAAATTCATTGACTTAGAAAAAGCCTTCAAGAGACAGTGTCCATCTAGCGGTGATTTGGAAACTACTTCACTACTACCAATGGGTGTCACCGACAATTATACATGTCATCCAACACTTGTAAGACAATGCTGCATGCAAAGCAATCCACAACGAGAAACTCACGGAAGCCTTCGAAGTGAAGACGGGAGAAAGACAAGACTGCCTATTATCACCAATGGCTTTCCTCATTGCGGTACACTGGATAATGCGACAGATAGCGACCGGCAGCGACGAAACAGGCATACATGTACCCATACAAAAACTTGAAGGATCTGAACTTCTCCGATGATATACGTCTGATTTCACACAAATTGGAAGATATGCAAGTGAAAAGCAATAAGTTGGCAGAAGAAGCATCAAAGATAGGACTTCTTTCAGGTGAACATAGAGAAAACAGAGGTGATGAAGATTCCTGGCCAGTAGCAACAGAAACAGCAACAACGTATGAAAATCAGCCAGCATAGATGGGAGAAATTTGAAAGAAACAACCTCCTTTACTTACCTACCTACCTATCCATCTGGAAAGCATCGTTTCAACTACAGAAGGGCGAAAATGATGAGGATATCACAGCGAATGGGAAAACAAGGCAAGCTTTTATTACTCTCAAGTCTGTATGGAGGAGATCAACAGCACTCAGAATGAAAAATAAGATCGGGTTTTCAACTGAAATGTAAAGTCAATTCTTGGATCAGAGACTTGGCACGTAATGAAGAGCACCTCAAACAAACTACAGCTGTCTTCGCTCAATACTACTTAAGATCGGATGGCGGGTCAGAAAAGACCAGCAACGTGGATTTCTAGGAATGAGCGAATCAACGAGGAACTGACTGCGAGACAAATAAGCAGGAAGAAATGGGAGGTGATTGGCCATACTCTGAGAAAACAAACCATTAAGTGACATCACCAGACAGGCCCTCAAGTGGAACCCTAGTGGGAAGCGCGAGTTGGTCGTCCAAGGGTGACTTGGAGGAGGTCATGTGAAGAGGAGATGAAAGCATGTGGGCAGACGTGGAGCCAGGTGAAAATGTTGGCGGATAAGGGAACGCAATGGAGACGTGCGGCTGAAGGCCTGTGTTCCTCTAGGAACTAAAGGAAACAATTTTGTCATCGTCTTCACCTAGGAGAGAGGATTATATCACCTGCATATTCTAAGTCAGCAAGATTATTCCCTGGTAACAAGTCAATCCCTGAGTCGCTGAAGTCACTTAAAGTTACGTTCATTAGTACACCTAATATGAAATTAAACAGAACTGGGGATAGTGGGCATCCTTGAAGGACACCACTAGTTGTCACCACTTTAGATTACGACTCGGCGTGGGTTCACCTGGCTTTATGAGTTTGAGTAGAGTGCCTTGATCAGTGCAATGTATTTTTTGGGCATTGATTTTACAGCCAAGCATTGCCACAGTGCCTCTCAGTCGACAGAATCGAATGCCGCTCTTAGGTCATGAAACATAACCATTGTTGGACGCCGGTTAGTATGCCTATGTTCCAGAATCTATCAAAGGGTGAAAATGTAATAAACACATACTCTTCTTGGTCTGAAGCCTGCCTGGTTCTCTCGTGTTTGTGCCTCCCGAGCACAACTTAGTCTAAGCATGATTATTGAGCCTAGGAACCTCGAAACCTTACTCAGAATTCTTAACAATGCCGGTAGAAAAAATTGGCTGGCATTAGAACCCCCCACAAACTCAATCAGAGACTAGCTTTGCCGGTTAAAGGATTAATCATATCGAGCCTCTAAAACAAAACAATTTAGTTTATCTAATACCCTTCAATGATTCTCAGGTCAAATACATAGGTCATACTAGTAGAGCAGGGTTCAGTCAGTCAGACCAGCCGAGCACAAAAGCGTAGCAAAATCCAGATTAGTTGACCTGATACGTAGATAGGAAATCTAGAGAATAGTTCAGCTTTACTACTCACTACATGCAATTACACACAACCATACAATAGGATGGATGGGATAAGATGACAATTTTTAAATCTTATGTAGTAGCTGGGTGGAGGGCGAGATTGATAACAGAAACGTTGTTCATGGAATCAACTGCAAATACATGTAATAGGAATGATTCAACACCTGTCTACCCAGATTTCTGGAAAATTCTACTACCCGTACGACGACAAATAGGAGAGAATAAAGAAAACTATAAAACTCAAGTTTCAAAGTCATGTGATTACAATTTATATGATTATGAACAAAAAATTGTATTCGAAACTGTGTCATCCAGTAAATACTACTGTTTCACTGTGTGATATATCTAATAAACAAGCTAATATGGAAGTCACTCGCCGCACCTATTATGCAGCATCATTTCAACTTCCGGATGGAACGGATAAGCGTACCAAAGGCAGGATCGGAAAGGTACCTTAATCACTGTGAAATCAGTCCGGAAATCTTCTTCATCTAGTATGAGGAAAACGATCCGGAATTTCAACACACATATATGTATGATTTCAGTCAGTGCTTCTATATAAGTGAGAAACTTGTAATGCACGTTATGACCACCGATCGAGAACCTACAGCTCGAAAAAATATGCTGAAGAAAATCGAGATGGATGGAGACACACTGAGGAGACTGTCGAATGATATCGTGCGACAGACCATCGCTCGAATGGGACTCGAAGAGTTAGGCGTGGATCCGAGGATGATGAGACGGGTGAGAGACTATGGGCAATTATGGGGCTAACTTAATATGACTACAGAGAATTGGACAACGTGGAAATGTGCTGTTGTGGCCCTGTGTTTCATTCTGGACCCAAAAGAAAAATGATAATAATAATGTCCAAATAACAGAAAGATTTTAGATACGACCTCAAGATAATACAAATTATTATAACTTTTACTGATATGTAAGAAAATAAGCATAAAAAAAAGCTATAGATGGGATTCAGGGAATTCAGCATTGGCTTTTAAATGTATACAACAATTTGCAAGTATTGATTTCATAGATATTAAGTTTGTTTGATAGGATGGAGGATTACATCATAAGCTGACTGACATCAGTTAGAGAACCATTGGAAAACCTGCAGGGATTACTACCAGACAGCTGTTTTGTCCTAGTTTGTGACGTGGTGAAGTGAGTGAAGTGGTAGAGCGTGTTAACTGCTTCACTTATTTGGGAAGTACAGTCATCTCCTACGGGTTAATCTCTGACGAAATCCCAGTACGGATACAGAAAGCTAGTTTCGCATACGCTAGTTTACGCCGTCTCTTACGTAGACGTGATATCCGGCTGGCTATCGACCAAAGGGCGGATGTAATGCTCCGCACTCAGCTCTGTCATCCTTTGTGGCTACCTGTGAGACCCGGCCATTGACAGTGGAAGACATGAAAAGGCCAGCTAGCTGTCTTGGAACGTAAGTATCTGTGTTCTATATCCTGTATGAGGTGGTATAACAAGGTGAGCAATATTGAGGTTAGGATACGCTCAAGTGCTGGTAGGTTGGAGGGGAAATCAATCTACGAGGCTGTGAACACACATCGACTGAGATGGTTAGGACATGTGTTCCGTATGCCTAGCAATCCATCGCCTTCCTCGACAACAAGCAATGCTAGATGATGTACGGTCAGGCTAGAAAAAACCTACCGCGTTGTGGTCAAACCAAAACATGGCTTCACCAGTCAATGAAATCTGCAACAGTTAGTTCAAGCAAGCCAACTACGTAGGGAGGTGTAGACTTCCTGACTAGTTGGAGTCCTCGGGATGGTAAACACCATTGAAGTCTGGAGACAGTTGGTGGTGATATGGCTGAAAAGCATTCTCAATGGTTGGCTCAGATGCATCCACTGCTTGTGACTTATAATTTTCAATGAAACTATATTGTTCTTCGTTATTACTATTCCTTTTGTCGCATATCTCTGTCTACTATCTATAGTATGCATTTCTTCTACTTTCTTCTCTTGGTTTGTGTGCTACATGGTGGGATTGTGGCGACTTGAGCTGGTGCACATCGACGCAAAGTTCTATGTGAAAAACAGATCAGATCAGAAACGTTCGGAACTCTTTACAGTACATATCCACCGCAAGTGTTCGAACCCACGATTTTCTGGTTACAAGGCTCAATGGTCTAAGAGCTCACTGACCTTGTAACCAGAAGGTCCTGGGTTTGAACCTTGGCGGTGGGTGGGTACTACTGAAGAGTCCTAAACTAGGAGGAAACAGCCCTCCAGTAGACAAAAAATGAATAAAAAAGGTTAAAGGGTAAGAAATAACCCTGTAGTGGTGATAGTATTTTTTTATGCAAATGTATTCAAACAGTAAATATCTATCTAGAAGCGAAGAGAACAATACTAGAGTACACATAGCCGATAAATAATAATTAGGTGTTTAATCAATACATCTATAGAAATGGATTATTTGTTATGCATTGAATATATAACATATTCATGATTTCTTTGCACTGTGTTACACTGTGTCATCAACATTTGAACATTGAATAAATTAAGCAAAGTTAAATTGGAATTTCTACAGGTAAATATGTTACAAAATATTACTGCAAATTCATACTTCTGTGTACATACGTGAACTTAATAATTCTTTCATGTGTAAAAATTAGAAGAAACTTGTTTGAGAAGTGAACTGTAATTGGATGGTTGCAGGCAATCGGCCACAGGAAGTCTTGGTTGTACCTAAGTTTCGTGCTAGTTGGCACTTGTCAGCAACGCGTATCTCAGATTCTAACCGCGTCACCCAGGCCACAAAGAGACAGCAGACAGGGATATGAGACAAAAGGAATAGTAATAACGAAGAACAATATAGTTTCATTGAAAATTATAAGTCACAAGCAGTGGATGCATCTGAGCCAACCATTGAGAATGCTTTTGAGCCATATCACCACCAACTGTCTCAGACTTCAGTGGTGTTTACCATCCCGAGGACTCCAACTAGTCAGGAAGTCTACACCTCCCTACGTAGTTGGCTTGCTTGAACTAACTGTTGCAGATTTCATTGACTGGTGAAGCCATGTTTTGGTTTGACCACAACGCGGTAGGTTTTTTTCCAGCCTGACTGTACATCAGCTAGCATTGCTTGTTGTCGAGGAAGGCGATGGATTGCTAGGCATACGGAACACATGTCCTAACCATCTCAGTCGATGTATGTTCACAGCCTCGTAGATTGATTTCCCCTCCAACCTACCTAGCACTTGAGCGTATCCTAACCTCAATATTGCTCACCTTGTTATACCACCTCATACAGGATATAGAACACAGATACCTACGTTCCAAGACAGCTAGCTGGCCTTTTCATGTCTTCCACTGTCAATGGACAGGTCTCGCTCACAGCCATAAAGGAGGACGGATGATTCCATGAACTCCAACTCTTTTCCAACCTAATCCTGCGTCAAGTAGCATTGCTCATCGAGGATGGCAGTGAATCAGAATGCGCAACATGTATCGAAGGCATCTGAATCGAAGCACCTTCACAACCTCATCGATTGACTAATCCATCCATCTTACCTAACAGTCTACTCCCCAACTTCATTATTACTGCCCACGTGATGACACTTAACAAGGGAGGTAAAACATGAACATTTGTTGTTGAAGATAGTATTTTTCTATTTTCCACTTTCAATGGTCACGTTTCACAGTCATAACGAAGGAGAGAACGGACTGCTGAACAATTTATAAGTCCTTTAATCAAAAGAGAGTTCAATTATTCTCTCACTCCCTTTGTAACTGAATTTCGATTTCGATTACACCAATTAGTCATCTAATTCAGTGATCTCAACTCACTGAACATATCTTAATCTCATGAACTGTAGGCGCTTTCTTTTATCTTATTGGAGTTGTTATGTGAACCTACAAGCTAACACTATTCTGTTACAGGATTTCATCATGAGCTGACATCAGTTAGATAACCATTGGAAAACCTGGGAGTACTGGACAGTTGTTTCGTCCTAGTTTGGGACTCTTCATCAGTAGGCACCCCCACCACGGTTCGAACCCAGGACCTTCCAGTTACAAGGCGAGCTCGTATACCATTAAGCCACTGGTCCTTGAATTCTAACTTCTCCCAATTCACGACACAGCGCGACCGCTAGCCAATGTCTTCGGCGAGTATTTGTCCTCAAACCCAACCCGCTGCACCCTACTGGTCACGACTTTATTTATCTGTTAATTATTTTTTTCTGTTTTCGGTCTTACCCCTTTCTCCCCTCTTTCGTACTTTGAAAGCGCATAAATTGATGATTCAAACTAAAACTAAAGATTGTAATGCTGCTCACATTTTGGATGCGTCACTTTTATGGTATTTTTTCTCCACTACCACTTAAACATTAAAGTATGTTATTATTATCATTATCTATATAACCATTGTAATTTCAGGTAGTGGTGTGCAGTTGATGAGAATCTGTGAAATAGAATGACGACGATATCATTTCTGTACTGCAAACTTCGTCTTCCTTTCTTTATCGAAATATTATTAAATCCTTAAGACATTTAATGTGTGCCATTTTTAAATAATTAGCAGTACATAAACTTGTAGAACATATTGATGTACATATCAACAGACTTACCACTGAGGCGACTAAACAGACGTTGTCTAGCTTCATTTGACGCCCTAGATGTCCGAATTTTTTCTATCCACTGATGTTCAGGATCATGATTCATTACGAGTTCTTCGATGAAACCAATTAGTGAGTCGATCACAAATCCTTGTGGAATAGTACAACCTAGTAAGCAAGATATATATAGTAAATAAAAGTAAGAAATTTCGTCAGTATAATAATAATGATAATTTGCTTTATTCCAAAACAGTACTTGTGATAAAGAATGGAATTCTCAGCATTTCACTACAGTATAGCATCAAATTTGTACATTAACAATAAATAAAATTCTACATAGATTGTGGGTAGTCTCAGTTAGTTTTGAAAACAACATATTGGCATGTCGGTAGCAAAGCCAATAGTGAACAGAACGTTTGCAGGTGTCAGAAAAGTAGATACTAACATATTTACTGGCGTAAGCGTTAACAAAAAGGTGGAGACACACAGTGTTTTAATGGAGTTTGTAAGGAAGAGAGAAACAAAACAGCACATAACAAAAACAAAGCAAAAAGAGAGAGAGAGAAAAGGAAAAGAAAGAAAGAAAACGTTGTACCTATAAATGATATGAGTTGGAAAGACGAGATCCAATTGTTCTACTGACTGTTTAATAAGGTATAAGTTTCACGCCTAATGATTTCTTTATCGCACAGAACACGAACGAGCTAAGTAGGGTATGGTTGAGATTTTGTACTTGCTAGTGCGAGCATATAGCTTCCTATACAGGTTTCTGGTCCTGTCTGATGAGATAGATACAAGGGGAGAGTTGTGAATGAAGAGGGTGGTGTGAGTTAGATGTAGAATGGATTGAGCCCATTTTTCACATGAGTCCGTGTGCCTGTCAACCAGAATATAACAAGCTGGTTATTCCAGAATGTCTTAACTTCTTGATGTAGAAGGTAAGACGAAATATTTTTTAGAGACCATCAAGATATGAGACGACCAGGAAAGATCAGCAGATAGAATGACGCCATCAAAAATGACCAAATGGTGGAAGTTGCAAAGACTAAACAAAATACAACATGAAACTAACCATATCCAGGGCTAAAAGTAGATGATGACTAAGGGTGAAATGAAAGTCTGAGTCACGCCAGGATCCCAATCAACAGCCACCGAAATACTCGTCTGATGCTCTGTAAGCTACACTATGACACCGAATTCCTGACCAGATAACCATTTCACTAAAACTGTTTAGATTATGTGAAACGATTTGAACAACATCACATCAGTCAGGGAAATAATTGGTAACATCATCAGGAAGCCTAGTGACTAGTGTACAATCAAAGTATCCACTACAGTCCTACAGAAGGTCAATCGCGAGCCCAATGGTAACGTCTCTGACTGTAGGCAGCACTGGGTCACGTGGGTTCGAATCTCAGAAGGGACACGAGTTCCCTCGAGGTTGCAGATACGCCTTGCTGACTGACTGGTGAGTGCCAACTAGCACGAAACCTAGGTACAGGCATGGCTTCCTGTGGCCGATTGCCTCCAACCATCTAATATCATCAAATCAATGTGTACCGTGATGACGGGCAACCTAGTGGCATGGTGGTCACACTGCAAACCTGACTGACTGATAGAATTCAGTCTTCACCAAAGAAAGGACTAGACACATCACACCAGTTACTAGTGTTCAATTAAAAGTAACAATGACTAACAATGAGACAACTTTTAAACGACGCAGAGTGAACATAACACAAGACTAAAAAATAAAAGTTGAATAATGACGTAGAGTACTACGACAAGGCAGAAGTCTGTACTGATGATGAGTACCCTATGAAATGAAGTGAACACTTAAAATAAAAGGGGAATAAAATAGGCAACACGGCGCTTTGAAGAATATGAGCACAGTCTCAACTGCCTGAAAGGATTAGATAAAAAGCAGACAGGATACAGTCTTAAAATAAGTCTTTTTCAGAATACTAATATAAGCCCACATATTCCGACAAAGGATTCTATCCCCCACAAATTAAATGTACAGCACTAAAAAAGAAAGATATATGCCAGTCACATATATGTACATAAAACCGAAATGCATACAAAAATATTATTATTTATTCCTTCACGTTCCCCAGTGGAACATAGGGCTTCAAGCTAGTGACTTGTAATTTCTGTATCAGTGCTTATTTTACAGGATGGGGTTGCTAGCTTCATGCCCAACCTTTCCTCTTTACCAGGATTATTTCTGGCTTAGCGAGGCAAATGAGTGCGCCGGCCGGGGATCGAACCCCTGACCATGTGCATGGTCGGTGAGCATGCTAAACGCTGTGCCGCCAACGCACATACAAAATATAGGTAACAATACAACTAAACAGACAAACATGACTCCATATCACGTCACGTAGCGTTATCAGAGAGATATCCTTCATCTGAAACAAGCCGAAAACTTCCAGAACATTATTATTATTCTGCGTCGACTAAGCCACGGTAGATGGAAAGTGGCCTTCGAAAACTCGAAGATGATAAGGAGTGAACAAATCTGAGCCGTTTTCAGTGGTCTACACTGTATCACAAAGAGGTTCCACACTTCGATTCATTGTACACCAACAATCTCTTAGGCAGTCGGGAAGTAACAACTGCCCACACACTTCCAAGAGCACATGAATCCTTCCTGAGCATCATTCTCCTTTACCCACATCCCCTTCATCATCGTACTCCCCTACTACAATTAGTACTATTCTTCAGGCTAGTGAGACATCTTCACTTCACTGTGTGACCACAAACAACAATGAGAGCCACATAGAAACACCCCAGCTAGCGTTTTAAAGCCACATCACCAACTTTCAACGTCAGACACCTCTTCTCATGGCTTGAAATGTTAGTCATGAGTTAGTGACATGCTTTCCTCTGATCATCCCGAATTCTTTTTCAATCGGATACTTTAACAGCTACAATTACTTGGTGAGAGAGTCGATAGCTCATCCATCATCCTAAATACACGTCGGTGGCACAGTGGTTAAGACTCTCCGCCGACCATGCACATGGTCCGAGGTTCGATCCCCTGCCGACGTATATCTGATATCTATGGTCGGCCTGCAAAATTTGGGCTACCGATATCACATGCTGAAAATTCCATACTTGTACCAAAAGTACAGTGTGGAATCAAGCTGTAAACAAAAATTAAAATTAAAAAATTAGACGTCTCAACAGGTGATACTTCCGATCCGAGCTCGACTGACTTTCTTTTCTAATCTAAAATTCCATACCTAACTATACTACAGCACATAATGCGAGCAATTAAATGCAGACACCTATGAAAAGCAATGGCCAATCGTTTCATATCTTTCTAAGCTAACTAACGAACAGCCTCAAAAAGACATCGCTGTGAGCGAAGAAATCTTGACAAACATGAATCCTTAGTAAAATGTCGAATAAGATATGATGGAAAGCAACATTGGTCCCTTGAATATGTTGTTACAAAACATGCACCTACCATTATGTCTATTTAATTATTCGGTGCCCGATTATATGACATCATTATCTTCTAGTTTTAAATGGAATCATTAAATTGTGCATATGTATGTTCGAGCCTCGGTGGGAACATTATCACTCACTGAAAAATGCAGGCACATCCAGCTGACGACCCCCAAATAGGACGAAATGCGCATCCTGGATTCCACTGCTAGTCACCATACACCAAATAAATGTACGTTTTGATATTACAAATGCTATTATTTAAAAAATGCTGGGGAAGTGAAACAATATCACGATACCTTACTTAACTTGTTTCTTTTCCCATATTAGTTTGTTTATTAGACGTATCACACAGTGATGAAACATTATTACTGTTAACTGGATGACGTTTCAAACAGAAAAAGGGACTTAATTTCATTGTATCGGTAGACAAGCTGAGAGCTGAAGATGTCATCCCTGAAATAGAAATAGCACTAAGTGGGATAGACAAAACCACGGCTGACGAAGTAAGGGCACAATCTGGACTAAGAGAATTAAGCAAACAATATTGTTTATAATACAGGTTTTTGTATTTCCCAATGAATGAAAAACAAAACGATAGTTTTTACTGACGTTTCGCTATTTAATGCTAACAGCTTTCTCAAAGTATTATTAAGTATCGTTTTGTTATTCATTCATTGGGAAATACAAAAGCCTTCCTTATAATTATAATAAGAGTTCAAATAAATATCATAAAGGTACGAAGGAGATGGAAAATAAGAAAGGGTGGGAGGGTTTTGAATAGAATTCACCTAGGCCAAGCAAGGGAGAGACGAAGGTAGAACAAACTTCTTTTGTACGCAAAGACACTAGGATTGTTCTGTCGAATTCCCATAGCTTCGGCTAAGTGTAAAAGACGGGTTCTGATTCCGTTCAAAAGGCTAGATGGAATGCGATAGATAACTTTGTAGGCGCTATTTTTGTCCACTTGGTGACCAATATCATCAATCAAATGAGCCAAAATAGAACCTCTTATAGAATTTATTTGACCTTATCCAAACCATGAAGAAAGATGCTTATTAATGCGTTTGTTAAGCTGTTCAGATTTTCCCCTATATAGCTGTCTCCACAGGAGCAACGAAATTTATAGATGCACATAGAAGTCGCACAGCTAGGTAGCTTGTCTTTTACTTGAGCAATCATAATTGTTCGGCAGCTGGAAAATGACAAACAAAGGGTGGCGGCAGTATGATTCCGTTTTATCGCTCTCGATAATCTGGACTAACATTAAAACGACAAAAATGTGGAAAGCCTAACCTGACAAAACCAGAGATAGAAGCCCTGAAACACCTTGAGGACAACAAGGATATAGTGTTTCCAAAGTCAGACAAAGGAAATGCAACAGTAATATTAGACAAATCAGACTGTTCGGACAAATTGAATACTCATATACAAACAGGACCATATGGGGAAATTAATAAATCAATAGACACAGTTATGAATAAAGTTAAGAAATCCACAGCGGAGCTTATACGCCGAATGAAGTCATTTCTAGGTGAGTTTAAGTGGTTTAATTTAATGCCAAAAAATATTAACCCCAGTAGGATGTATGGTATTGTTAAAGTTTATAAGTCAGGATACCCTATTAGGCCTATAGTTGATTTTAGAAATTCACCTACTTATGAATTATCTAAATATTTAGTAATGGTATTAAATTCCCTTGAAAGCCACTCAAA